CAGTGAATCAGATGAAGAACAACAAGAGACTAGCAATAGTATGAGGTGCATGTGAAAAATAATCCTCTGTGTTAAGAATAATTCAGTCCTTATTACACACTCACTCTTAACAGAGAGTGATCCATTCCCACCTTTCCTGTTTTCTTTTTATTTAGCTTCCATTCTGCTTTTCTCTTTGCCAAGTCATTCCAGGCAGTCACGTTTTTGACTATTACAGTCTCCTAACTAGCTTTGAATCCACTGCTGATTTGGCTTGTGCAAAGCTGGTCTGAACCACCCAGAGACACTGAGACACACAATCATGCAGTAATTTGTTAAGCCTTGTCCATTCTGGGAATAAATTTCCCATTATAAGCATAGGCAGCAGTGAAGCCCTGTTTAACACTTGTCCAGCTCATCTACTTGCCACGAAGGGTAACTTGACCCAGTGTAAATTATGTATCACTGTGATTTTGCCAGCCTGTGCTAGTGCTCAGCCTGCTGCTGGTACAGAGAGAGCAAAAATCCCCACTGCAGGCAAGCCTTTATTAGCAAGTTACACAGCTACCAGTACAGTCCTTGCTTCCAGATACTGTAATTAAGATGACACATCTTCCTGATGGTTGCTTTAAAGAGACAAAATATTAATGGAAGAAACACTGCAGAAATGTTTTAGCACCTGTTTATCATGACCATGTATTAAGTTCCATTTGCACACCCCGCCAGCCTTTATTAGGAGAGCTCTGCAAGTTGTAGACTGCCAAATATATCTTCTCTGAGTTAGTTTTCACTAGCTTTTCCCTCACTTTCCAAACTTAGAACAGAAAATAATATTTACAGTCTTAATCTTCAGGTTTCCCAAGGTGGGTAGGTGAGGATTTTGTTGTTTGCCTAGGTTTTTTTTTTTTTCCAATTATTTTTCTTCTTTGAAGTATTAGCTGATTGATAATATACACTGAGGGATTAAAATGAACTGTATTACTTTAACAGATTTAATAGCAAACTGAGCAGAGCCTACAAGACACTTGGAAACAGAAGCAACTTCTATCCAAGGAAAATTTCCAACAGTTGTAACAGTTGCACCTAATAAAGCTGATTGGGAAGATTTTCACTTTTATTCACCCCTAAACACCCTGAGCACTGGAGATGGAGGCCGTGCACCAGCAATGTTCTAAAAGCAAGTAAAAGAATCGTTAAATAGATCACTGAGCCCAACGGGATTTAAGCACACCTAGTCAAGCAAGACCCAGCATCAGTCAGAGATCATTACACTGCAGGGCCTGACAACAGGCAGGGCACTTTTCAGGCTTTACACACGGGAAGCAGGAGGAGGCACAAACCCTGTGAGGCTCAGAGCCTCCCAAAATCCACCCCATGCCATGCAAATCCCAGGCATGGAGCATCCCATCCCGCTTCCCAAGGCTGCAGGCAGCAGTCAGAGCCTGCCCACGTGGAACAAGTTCGGCAGCCAGAACCTGAGGGAGATCAGACAGGCAGAAATACAGGCAGCAACCCAGGCAGGAGAAGGGCGGGGAGAGTTTTACTGAGATGAAGTAGGCAAGAAAGAATCTCTGGGGGAGAAAAAAAAAAAAGAAATCAGAGAGAGATTTAAGATAACAGACAGTAGCAGCAGACAGGATGGAAACGGGGAATTCTTCCAACAGGTTTTTACCACACAGAATCTCGGGAAGCATTTGGGCTCACCACTGCCTTGGTGAGGAAGACAGCCTACTGAAGACATTATGGGAGAGGAATACTGGGCTTTTGTCTCTGCAGCTCCATTTCTACAGTTTAAAATAAGGATAAAGATAATAACACCCTGTCCTGAAACAATTTCAGGAGCTAAATAGAGTATACACAGTCAAGTAAAATTAAGCTATTGTTATTAACTGTCACCTTCTCTCACCCGTGAGATCAGATGAAAAAGACGGTTTCTCTGAAGAAAAAAAAAAGGCATCATAAGAACTACCATTCACACTGCTATTACCCATAATAACATAAAACCTCAATATCTGACTATTACAGACAGACTTGAACTCCTTCTCTTTCTCATTAAAATAACCTCTCCCTTGCCCACTCGGAACAGAGACAGGCAGTTCCTTTCTTACTCACAGCTGAGGCTGGGAGCTGAGTTGGGATGCAGGCAGGGAGGGCTGAGAGCCCCAGAGCTCCACTGCTGGGCTG